CATACTTTGATATTTGATTTTATAGTTTTTAAAACTATAGACATTCAAGATCAATACTTACACTGAATTGGTAACTACTGGATTGTAGTAGACAGTGGTGATTTGTCTAAGACTGTGGTAATGCCTTCAGTTTATAAATCTGCTCAGAGGGCCAGGGATGTAGCTCAGTGGTGCTGTGCCTGCCCAGCAAGTGCAAGGTCCTGAGTTCAATTCCCGGTACCGGTAAAAACAAAACAGAACAAGAAAAACTGTACAGAGATGAGATTGGCTTCTTAAATAAAGGAGAATTGAGGTAAGAAATGCCACTCAACAGTCTGATCAGTAATATTTAGACAGCGCGACTTCGGAGGGCCTTAGAACGACAGTCCTGGCCTTGTTATTGCCCATAGAGTGTGTACTGCGCCACACGCTGGGAGGAGACGAATCTTGGTGACACTCAGCCTTTATCATGACTGCTTCCTAATCCATAATTAGAATCCACAGAAAAGGCATTAATTTTAATTTTAGGAAAAAAATGAGGTTCAAACCGAGGAAATTGCATGATTTGCCCATGATCATACAATTAACATAATGTAACACCAAGTGTTTTCTCTTTCATTAAAAAAAATTGATAAAATTAAATAAATTGGCTCTTAATTACTTTACTTGCTCCCCATTCAACTCAGTGGGTTTTTTACTGCATAATTTTGATAAAGCCAAGCTGGAGGGGCCTAATGAACGCTATTGAAAGCACTCTCAGACCCCCACAATACAGACTGGATTCCGTCAGAAAGCAGAAGACCCCTCCTACTCTAGGGAATGAAGGTCACCATGGGGTTAATTAAGACCCCAAGTTCTGGGGCTCTCCACACCCCAAATGGGAAGACCCTCCACCTCTACAGTTCACCTAGGGGTGCAGAGCGCCTGGAAAGCGGTGGTCACAGCCCCCACAGGGGAAGGGCCAAGCTGGGGCTTGCAGGACATCCTGCCCTGTGGAGAGGGGACAGCGGGTGGCATTGCAGACCCGGGCAGTGGGCCCGTGAGTCCCAGAGTTGGTCTTGGTGGAGGGTTGCCCCTGAGGGGGACCCTGACTGAGTGACCGAGGCCACAGGCCAACACAGAGCCTCCTGTCAGACAGCATAGCGGCAGGCCTGGAGCTGACTTCCCAGATTTCTGGGGGAAGCCAGACTTTCTCTTGGCGTAACGGCTCCCCTCTGTAAATGCTCCCTTCTCTTACCTGCTGTGTTTGGTTTAGTCAGGCTGCACAGTTTTCTGTCACCCTCCAGGATGGCAGGGAACCTACCCCCAGCCCGTCTTCTTGAGAGCTGGGAGCTGCTTCCTCCTTGCCCCACACAACCACAGATTTCACAGAGGATTAAAAGACAAAGCATCTTCAACTCTTCTCTGAGTTCTCCCAAAAGTAGACCAAGCAAAGTCAAGGGTTTCTCGGTTGAAGGACTTGGTCTGGGCAGTCATTCTAGGGCGTGTAATAAAGAAATGAAACAAGGAAAGAAGGAAAATTTGTATACGGATGAGTGGGCCGCTGAGAGGGCAGATGGAGGCACTGCAGGACCCACCCTGCCGTGCTAGGGAGCTGGGCTTTTACCACCTGCGCCCCCCATGCTGGACTCAGGGCTGCTCTGGGCCATCGAGGCTTGGGCATTTCCAGCCCGCCTTCCAAGGACACCAGAGGAAGTGGCAGGGAGGGGCTTCCGGGAAGATGGCGCCAAGCAGAGGGCAAGTCCTGCAGGAGATGTCCCCAGGGGCACGAGGGAGGTAAGGGGCCCTGGGGGCCAATAATGAATGTGTGAGTGTGTGGGGCAGAGAGAGACAGGGCGCTTAAGTAGAATAAAAAGCAATTTCAGAAAATACATAGCTTCAAAAAGAATAAAATGCAGAACCATGATGTCCACAAAGGTTCGGTGTCTCTCACTTTATGGACTTTCCCACCACCGGGTGGCAGTATGCCAAAATTTTGGTGGTCGAAATTTTAAAATTTAAGAATAAAAATAATAATGACTTGAAATGACACCAAACTTCTCATAATAACGGCTGTGAAACAACTTGTCTGAATATTTCCTTTTCTTTCCTTTTATTTTCTTTTTCTTTTTTTTTTTTTTTTTTT